GTAAACTGAGGCGCTGGTCAATCAGTCCGTCTGACAATTCTCTTGAACCGCTGGATGTCGGTCCCTACAGGTTCGCGATCCGGTCGCGCCATTGCCCATTGAGGTCCTTCATAGACAGTGCTGTTGGCAGCTGTCAAGCGAGCTCGGTGACGGTTCAAGGCAACAGGTATTTTCAGGTTGCCAATCAGCACGGCAAATACCACTGCTCTAAATATGCAGATCTTGGTATCATTGGAATAGCCACCCAGACTGCAGCTGGAACTGTGAGAACATTTACCCGCTGCTGTCCCATAGGAAACTAGATAAATAAAGGGGTAGACAACATGATGGCAATTTTGAGCTGCGTTTTCGCCACATTTCCCAAATTGTAGTATAAACAAAGGCCTTTCCTGTCCATTTCTTGATGTTTTCTCTTCAACATCGTGTCCTTTTGGCGAGGTCGTGATTCATTCAAAGGGTAAATTGGACGGCGAAAAATTTTACCATCTTATTTGTTATCCAACTTGCCCCATATGCGCCTTGACGCTTCTCCAATAATCTCTGTATTTCTCTTGTCAAGTCACCTGACCAAGATGTTCTTGAATGACCAAGCGGACGTTCGTGGTTTAAAGGCACCCACTTTGTAATTTTTGACGTTAATGCATTTGTCCTGCAGGCGAGACGCGTGACCATGCCAGTCTTCCACGGTTGTTGTAGAAAGAAGTAGGCTCGTTGGTTAATTTCACATCATGTGTTTGAGAATTAATACGTCGTGCGGCGGCCGTGGTTCTCTCTCTAGATTCACACTTAGAAGCTGATTTTTTTGAAGAGAGGTTTACTGTAAACGAATAAAAGATTTCTGGAGCCCTAACCTGATCATAAAACTTCCTATACACGGTAAACTCAATGTCTTTAACGTTTCTTACAAGGGATGAATTTTGAGCTCACTTCTTTTCCTGCCATTCCTTGTCGCCATTCTGCAGAGTGTCGCCTGAGTTGTACTTCAATTTTTCCATGGGTAGCACGTTATTCGACCCATCGTACACCGAACGTTCGGACGATGCGGACAATCGAACTACGCCCCATCTTACCACCAAACAGCCAATCAACAAATTGAACGGTGACGCTGCAGAAACAAACAGAGCATTGCAAACTTCCTACTAGCGACTTTCTGTCTTAAACGTTGGACATTAAAGATGCGCTCTTAAAAGTCATGTCAACCGTGTTCTTTTCATGGGGTCATATTTTCTTGTCGTTGAATCATTCCACATACTGTGGCTGGGATTTTGGTAAAAACGTTCTTTTTTACAGTACGTCTCTAGCTTATTTATTTAAGTCATAAAAAAATCTCAGATTTATCAGCCCTAATTTCCTTTCCATGGGTGATGTTTTTCTTCGAGGCTGAGGAAAGGACACTCCAC